TTCTCTTCTAGTCTAAATTTTCTTTAATATTAGATTTAAAAGGATTTAAAGAGCTTTTTGCTATTTTGAATATAAAATTTTCTTAAACAATATCTTGAAAATTATTTGACCTAATTGATTGTTATAAGAATAAGAATAGTGATATAAAGAGATATACTCTATTCAAATAGTTCAAATTTCTTGCATAGTACTTATTAAACCCACAAGTACTAGACTATATACATGTCTTACAGATATTTCTAATAAAATACTAGAATTAGTAGAATAGATAATACATCTTAATTTTTTAGCAAAATTGTTCCTCCAGGATCATATATACATCTTGTTGGTTGTTGCAAAAGTAGGTATCTGAAGGTTCTATATACTTTGGTCTCGATTGTGATTGTTTTTCCGACTAGTATCGCTAACCGCAGCTTCTTATTATTTTTAGATTCTAATATAATTACTCTAGTTTCAGTTATAGTACTGTTCATTTTACTTGAATTTTGAGGCTATTTTGCAAATTCTAATCTCTATTCAATAGCCTTTTTCTTATTTTTGGAGGTGCTTATACCATTTTGATAATATCTTTTATGATTACCTTGTTTGTTCAAATTACTATCTTTAGCAGAATTCTGAGACCATTCTAATATTTTGTGCTTACTCCTTTTACTTGGTTCAAATTTATCTATAAACTTTTTGACTTTTTTCTTCCAGGAATTACACATGGTGTCCAAAGGTTCTTTGATATCAGTAGGTATTTGTACTTTAACTTTACTTTCTTTTAATATCTTCTTCACTTTGTTAATGAATTTTTCTGCTTTTTCTATAATGCTGATACATCTTTCTTTCTTGATTATTTTGTCTTGATCTTTATTATTTTTAGTGATTTTATTTTTGTCATACTTTCTTGAAGGTTTTTGTACAAGATCTTTCTTCTTTTTATGGATATATTTCTGAATAATAGCTTTGTACTAGTTAATTGACTTTTGGAGAAGAGGTTTTATATCTAAATTTTCTTTCTCAAAATTAAGCTCTGTATTTACAGATTCATCAAGAATATAATAAGAATCAAAATTTTTAGAGGTGAGCTCTTTCTTGTTTTGAGACATTGGCAAAGAATCTTCTAGATTTGAAATTTCTAAAAATGCAAGAGGTAGATTTTTTCTTTTTTGTAATTGGAGTCACTTGAATATAGGGAAGTAAATATATAACTAGTATATCTTCATCACTATTTTTTATCGGCTTTTCCCTATCTATTAAATCTTCTAATATCTCAAGTACTACTTCTAGAGCCTGAAGAAGCTGCTCATTATTGATATAATTATTTTCAAAGGCTTCATTAATGAGTTGTTGAAATTCAGCAGTTTGTTTATTAGTAAGAGTCTTAGTTAGAGCAATACATTTTTTATATCTAACTCTTCTACTTTAGGGCATTTGCTAATTATATGTTCTATTATATTACAATAAGTATACCAGGATATTTTTTTATAAGTTCTTTGGCATGGTTTATGATTCTATGATTTTTTTTTGTCTTGTTATAATAAGGTCTTTTTCATTTGATATTGAGTGCTTTTCTTCAAAGGTTGACATGATCTGGCTTGACTAATGGTAGGTGTTTGATTTTGACCATAAAGATTCATTTTGATATAGTGCTTGAATAGTTAAAAATTCATTATACAGATGCAAAATAAAAAATAAAAATTTTCATCTAGATTTCAACACTTATTGCGGATCAGAGTTACGTTTTCTCACTAGGATATACTTAGTAGAAAAGTTGCACAGTGTCTTCAAGAGGTTATGTTTAAAATTTTAGCTCAAACGGAGAAAAATCAATTGACTTCACTTAGTACCAAATATTTCTAAATATTCCTTTTCTTTGCAGATCTTTAAAGAAGAAAAATGCTGTCAACACGTTTTATGGGTTCCAGTGTCATTTTCGTCTTATGATAAGCTTAGAACAAAAGTTGCAGAATGTTTCATCAGATGTATCCTTAAAATTCAGCTCAAACAGAGCAAAATTGATTGACTTCAATTAGTACCAATCATTCTACAAATTGGATATTTTCTTCACAAAATTTCATAGGTAGAGTCTGTATCTCACAGTTACCACCAATTTATTATCCTATATCCACTTCTTTAAAGATAATAGGTAACTAGAGTGACTGTAGCCAGTGAATACTTTGTGTAACATCCTGAGTTACTGTATTTTAACTAAGTCAGTATGGTGTTTTTACAAAACTTAACAAAGAAGATTTAAGACAATTTGCAATTACGAAAGAGCCAACAATTAAAAGTATATGAAGATACTAATAACTGTTTAGGATTTTGGTTTCAAAAGGTATTTTATTGTTGAAAGTATATGAAGACACAATGTCGAACTCAAGGTCCACAT